CGGTGGAGCAGGCCTTTCGTAGCGCCAGGAGCTGGTGCGGCTCAGCCCAGGCTTGCCGCTCCGGTCCTGTTCCTGGTGCCTTGGTTCTGAGGTGGCAGTCGTGCCAGCGCTTCAAAGGCGTGACAGTAAACCTGCAAAGCGCTTCGAGATCTCGGCCTGAGGTGTGGTTGCGGACTGTGAAGGGCTCTCCTCAGCCGAAGCAGGATGGCCAGCGAGGTTTTGTGCCGCTGAAGGCTGTCTGTTCAGGTGGACCCAGCTTCGAAGCGGTTGTCTGGAGGCTCCTTCCCTCGGCTGTTCCGTTAAAGTCTCTTATTCCTCCTCCCTGCACGCATCTGCCAGTAATGCTGTCCATGCTGAAATACGTGATGCTTTTTAGATACATTTCTCTGTATCAAAAGGCTCGTATAGCTCGCTCTTGGCATGCAGAACAACTGTCTCCCGGTACAGCAAGTGCTGACCCCCCCGGGCAGGTTGATGTGGCGACGGCTGAGCCCACAGGTACCGGGCACCCCAGGGAACACAGCCCTGTGCCTTTGGCAGAGGCACGCCAGAAGAGATAAAGTGATGTTTGTGCTGCCTCTGCGTGCGTTATTGCTAGCCTGCAGCTCAGGAGAAGCAAGAAGGTGCATGGAGTGTGAAGGAGAAGGGCTTGGTGGTGGGGGCTGGGCGCTCCCAGCAAGTGTGCGGAGTAATAAAGGGAGGAGTTCTGGGGCAGTCTCTTGACCTATTTTGTTTTAAGCAGATGCAACTTTAGGGTCTTCTGAAAAATGGAAATCCAGTTCAGGTGAAAGTTGAGAGCTAGGAGCATCACCAGGTGGGTGAAATGGTGTTAAGCTACTGAAAGGAAACTTGAAGATGTAATCAAAGGTTGTGCTACAGCTGGAACTGAGAAGCTTGAAAGGGAGATGCCGGGGCTTGATGGCTCATGAAGGTGTCGGTAGCAGGGAGTTAACGAGGAGCAAATTCCAGTCCTCTTACTATCCCTCTCGCCTGGAAAGAGGAGGAGGTACTTGCTTTCTTTTCTTCTCCCTCTCCTCCCTCCTGGCTTCTGCCCGCAGGGGTGGATGCTGGAAGGTATGCATGGGGTGGTGGTGGAACAAACTGCTTGGAGGAAGCACAGCAAGTCATCGCAGCCAGTGATTCATGGAAGGGTTCAGAGGGACGGAGGAAGGTGTGTGTGTGTGTGTAACCACAGATACTGGGGAGCTGGAGAGCAGCAAGGGGTGTCTTCAGCGTTCAGTGATGTACCAGAGGCATTTATGGGCTACTGAGCTCAGCGCTGTCAGATTATTTGGCTGAAACAATTATTAGCTAAATGTCAAAGGAAAGAGACCAACTGGCATTTATTCCATAAAAATGATGTGGTTGTGATTTTCTATTATGATTTTTTTTTTTTCCCCTCTGCATGATGAAAACCATGGGTAGAAGAACTGGGGAGGCAGGGGGTTAGGATGATTTTTTGCTTGAGAAGCTTGGGTTCCTGAAAGACAACGAGCTTCATGGTTGGGGTGTTGGCAGTGAAGCGTTGGTGTGGACTGGGAGAGATAGAGGCTTGGAAAGCTAAAGCCAGTTTGAAGTGATACAGGTGGATAGGGATTGAGGCTATTGCCAGTACCTTCAGATTCAAAAGGTGTGTGGAAAGGGTGATGCTGAGGTCCCAGCAGCTGGGGATGAGACCGCCAGATCGAGGTAGCTTCAAGCAGAGAAGATACAGCTGGTCCTCCAGCAATCTGTAATGGGCAACTGTTGTGCCACTTGAAGAGAGTGCTAGGACCGGTTACGTGCTCTGTGGACTTGCCAACAAGGCGTGGGGCTGAAGGGTGTTGAGGGTGGCTTGGCTTTTCACGCAGACCCTCTGGACCGCTCGCTGGTAGTGTGTGAGGCAGTTTATAGCAGCGTTGTATGTTTGTTGTCTCCTTTCCTTCCCCTTTATCGCTGTGATGCTCCCTTGGAGCTGCTGGCAAAGACTGGAGCAGTGTTGGTTTAGGCAGCGAGTCGGGAGGTAGAGGCACGCTTTACCTAACTTTTATGTCACCTTGTAAAGTGAGGTCAGGCACTGGAACAGGCTGCCTAGGGAAGTGGTGGAGTCCCCATCCCTGGACGGGTTCAAAAAATGGGTAGATGTGCCACTTGGGGACATGATTTAGCAGGCATGGTGGTGGTGGGTTGATGGTTGGACTGGATGATCTTAGAGGTCTTTTCCAACCTCAGTGATTCTATGAGGGGGGTTTTGTCTTGCAGTTCGGTAGGTTATGCAGAATCTAAGGCCATTGTGCAATGCTTTAAAAACAGCCAATGTGTCATTTGTCTTGCCTGTTCCACAGTTGCACTGTGTCTGTCGGATGGCGGTGGCAGAGGCAAAGCCTCTCCTCTCTGGATTTGTTACCAGCTAGAAATGCGGGGTCACCTTGGGGCGGAGAACCGCGTGCAAGGTATGAGGGGAAGCCATCCTGCTGGCATGTTGGGTTTTCTTTTCCTTTTTTGTTTTGATCTAGAAGACAG